TGGAAGGCACGAGATTGACTTACTCCCGTCCATCTTCCTGCGTTGTTCATGTTTATTCTGATCATTACCTCATTTGCTTTCATTGCTTTCAAAGTGTGAATCTGGAGATGTGGTAAGAGATTAAATTGTATCACTCCAAATGGTATTACTCATATTTTTACACTGTACGGTTCATGTCATAACAATGATACGTAATGATAACGGTTCTAATTATATTACATTTGCTATTAGTGCTATAGTTACTAATTAAAAAAATAGCGTTAAACAGTTTACTTATACATAGCACAAAATATCCAGTAGTTAGTCCGGTGACTGAGTTATACCGACATTTCGGCGCATGTCCCACAAGCCTTTTTCAAGGTAGGTTGATGGTGAAGTTTCGTGAATGAGGTAGTCGTCCCCAGCAGTCGATTGTTTCGTGGCCAGAATGCCTGCATAAGTAAGCGCTATTTTTTCAGTATGACCATCGACTCACGAACTACTGTATCTTCGGATATTGTTGCTAATTGATTTTTGCTAATACTAATGCTATTAGTTGTAATAACGTTCTTATTCTTGTTCATGTGTGACTAAGAAATGTAATTGGTCCTTTCTGATGTTCTTTTAGAAAATGTCTGGCTTGGATGCACTGCAAGAAAGACTGGCACGTTTGGAGCGAATCGTGGGCAGAATCGACCCAAATGGTGGCCGCCCCGCTCTCTTTAGCATGTTGTGCCAGATCCAAAGCAAGGTCAACGCGATTTATGAAGAGCGGGCAAAGGTATTTTTTGTTTCCATGCTTGATGATTATGGTTATGAAAATGACTGTGATGAAGCTTGTAGTGGCGATTGCGTGATGATGAAACAAATTATCTTGATATGGTGATAATGAGTTTATGAAGATGACCATCGTCATGATATAGTGACGATGACAGGTCATCATGCTGTTACTGATAATGAACGCTGTCGTTGTGATTACACGTTGGTAACGGTTAGATAATTTTCTAGTGGTTTGATATGCTGAAGAAGAATGATGGATGATGCTAGTAATTATGATTACATTGATTCTGTGAACGATCTTGCTCTGTTGATGAATTAAATGATGATCATGATATGACGATGAGTATGAGATAATGATCCTTTGGATGATACTGCAGTTGGCAATGATTACTCAGGTAATAGTACTGAATTTTACGAGAATGAACATCGTAAGATGGTGATAACGATGGTATTATAACCACTGTGATGATAATCATGGTAAAAATCATTTAATCATGAGAACATAATGTTGAGTGACTGGGATTATTGCGATCATAGAGGTGACAGTATCCAGAAAAGGTTAGAAAATGAACGAATGGACAAGAGCAGAAGCAAGAGTTTCCAATGTCATCACAAATTAGGAAGTTAACGTGTCAGTATGCATGATGATTTGCAAAACAGTCCGTTTATCACTGGACTTGATCACTCCAAGTCGATAACTGATTAGCTGAAGAAGTTTTTTGGTTCAGAATCTATAAAAATCGTGGAAAACTTATGATGGCACAATCTGGCAGAAGATTTCACCCTGCGGTGAATCAGAAAGGGCTGATGTGGGGGGTCTGTAGGCTTCATATTGCACGAAGAAATGTCTCTTGTTTTGCCTTGACTAAACATCTAGTAAGTCATTTTGAATGTAGACGATTACTGTACTAATACTAATTACTAATATACACGTTAACTGTTATCTCTGTTAATCAGCTTCAACTTTATTTTGCAGTTGCAGATTTTTTCGTTTCTTTACACATGCGTTTTAGATTAAAACGCTATCAGACATTGTACTTCAGTTCGAAGATATGTTGAAAGGTGAAGGCCTGGATGCGGTACGTTCGATTGTTGTTATTTGCATATATGCAGTATATTTTGCTTATTTTCTATTGCTTCTAATTTGACGTTTTGTTTTGTTGTGACGTACTTTGTTTTTGTTATATCTATACTCTTTTACAGATTACTCAAAACATTTTACTCTGTAGCTCTGTAACTCGAATGATTCATTAATTTAAGGCAGCTGCTTAATGAGCCAAGTTGAATGATTGTTAAGTTTACTTAGGTCGGGCGAAGCTTGAGGTCTTTTTTCCCTTACGGAGCTGGCAAAAATTTTTATAAACTTATATACTTTAGTGCCTTTCACATATACACCACACGAAATTCCTTGTAGTTTTTTCAATAAGTTTGTTTAGGCGAGAACGATGTGCAGTTTGCGGATTACTCAGTCCTGTAAGATATTTTTGTTGTGATCTTTACTCGTTCCGTTCGCATTAGTTAACAGTGCCACTGCATCCTTTCCTATTCATAGTTTTATTTCTCTTAACATAGTTACAAAATGGAGGCAGCATTTTTTAATTGATATTTACATGTCCTTTGATATTATAATTCTCGATTTTGGTAATTCTTTAAGTACTCGTATCTTTGATCAAAGTTTAATTCTGTGGAGTTTTCCAAGTCTCAATAAAATGTTTTACGCTGTAGGTTGTTCCGGACGAAGAACTTATGATCAGGCTGTGTGAAGCGGCCGTACCTCGACTAGAAAAGGATGCAAAGCTTGTGCAAGAAATGAAGTTGTTAGAGCCAGTACTAGATTCAGAGCCCATAAAATCCATACCATCGCTGTATCCAAAAATGCTGCGTTTATTGACGTTGCAGGAAGCCCAGCTTCAGGAAGTTCGAAAGTACGTGTGTTTGTGCGTGGTTCGAATTGTCCACGAGCGCTGTTTAATTGGTCATCATAGAAACACGAGAATTAGGCAGTCAGACGATTGTGTTCGTCCTCCTTTCGCCATAATACAATATGCCACGATGTCCTGTCGAAAGTCTGTATATGAGGAATTGTGCTATTTCTTAGTAGATTTCTAAATTATTCAAGCGAAGTTATGCAACTGTACCTTCCCTTAAATGACTGAACAGTAGGACAGTCCTGATGAAATCCTCTTACTGCATTGATTAAGACACTGATATCAAGAATTTATTTTGAAACCCACATTGCAGCCAGTATTGACGGTGCCCATCATCAGGGTGTATAGTCGCAGCTTAAATCAGTACAACGTAATACGTGTTTAATTGTGTCATAACGGTGTTGCATTTCCTTTATGTTCTGCCTTTTAAGGTGACTTCATACATAACTGTTTTTCTGCCTCTACACGTTATGAGCTTGCCTGCCGATGTATCATTTCAAATCTCTACACTTTATACTCTTGCTTACAATGGTTGCGTTCACCCGTGAAGTTGGATTTCCTATTGGAATTGGAAGTTTAATGCTCTGTGGCTTTGTTCCTTAAGCACAAACATTAAAAATTTATATTTTTAGGCGATCTTCGAAAATTGATGCTCTCATTCAGCGATATAACATCTTTGTTGAATGCGTCGAAAAGCAGTTTCTTCTCTGGGACGCTCGTTTACGTAAATTGGAGGCGTTGAATAAAGGAGACGTGGAAGATTCTTTGGACATTGCCTCGTAATTCTTGTTCCTTTAATCGCCCTTTACATGACTTATGCATGTCGTATTTCGAAAATTTTATAACGTTGCAGATATCGAAAACCTGTTTCTTCTCGTTGAAGTAGCCTCATTTCCTGCTGGATATTCATATGATACTTATCTTATGTTATTATTTCAATCTCTGCGTCTTAAGCATGATTAATTATCATGCAAGCGGTAACACCAACGTATAGTTTCATGAAATAACTGTTTAGTTCCTGATGAAATAATTAAATGCTGGCAACGTATGCTTTGTAGCAATGGGTACATTTCATCAAAGGATAGTGCTTCCTCAATCTCTGTATTTTTTTGATTCTGCGAAACGCATCAGAAATGATGAGGGTTCGCTATGCAACTGGTTGGCGTTGAAATCGCGAATATCGTGTAACGTTCGGGTAAGTGCTACAGCCGTTAGTTCTGCTTCGCAGATGTTGACCTTCAAATAAGTGCAATCGATGATATTTTCATTCTGTTTACCATCAAGAGTCGTCCGCCATTTTACAGCCGTTCTCAGTGTTTCAGTGGCATGTCGAAACCTCTAATACTTTCGATAGCTTCTGGACCTTCCGTGAGGCTTCGTCATCGCCCAAAACTGTGCTAAAATGTATGAAGAGCTCCATTAACACGTAGAGTGATAGATTCGCTAACCGGTCGCTTCAAAACTGATACAACTGTCATTCTTAGTGAAGTAATTAGAGACTGCGTGTGAGCATTTACTTTATTCAGTGCAATTCTCCATCAATGTTTCGAGTGTAAAGTGCATTTTAAAATTGAAAATGATCTGACTGAGGTCAGGTAATGAATTAACCAAAACATTGCAGTGTAAAAGATGCACTGAGGTATGTCCGATTATATTAGAGTAGGCGTGCAGGATGGTTGAACTGTACAGTAGGACCGATGTATCAATATTACATTTTCGACACGATTTATTTAAGTTCTTAAGAGATTAAAATAAGACACAGTT